CCGCACAAAGCGAGTTGCACACGGCCGCCACGGAGAGCAGCGAGGCCGAAGCGGTATGCCAAGCCTCAGATTAAAGGCAACTACAGGTGGGGAGTTTAGGGGTTTAGGGGTTCAGGGTTTAGGGGTTTAGGGGTTTAGGGTTTCGGGTTTAGGGGTTTAGGTGGGGAGTTTAGGGTATATAGGGCTTCTATAAGGCTTCTATAAGGTATATACCCCTTCTATAAGGCTCCTATAAGGGTAACTACCCACCTGAGAATGTCTTAGATCAGAGAGGTTCAGGAATGTACCGATGTAGGGCTTCAGTGGTCTAGGTGCTTAGGGGTTATAGGGGTTTAGGTGTTTAGGGGTTCAGGTGTTTAGGTGTTTAGGGGTTTAGGTGTTTAGTGGTTTTATAGGGCTTTAGGGGTTTAGGTGTTTAGGGCATAGTTTCCATTGTAAATCTTTTGTTGTTTAACCAGTTTTGCTGGGGAGGATCCGATGATGTATAAAACAGGATCTCCAGCTGATGGAGACTGTAGGTAAACCCGACAAGCCCCCTAAGTTCTAAGAGCTTGGAAGCTGCTTTTTTGGACTTTCTCCACAGCAGCAGGTTGTCAGGCTTACTGTAGGGCTTAGGGTTTAGGACTAACGGACAATTAAGCCTATCAGCTGCCAAAAAGGCCCCAAAGCCCCATAAGCCCTATACCATAGCTGCTGTGTGTGGACTGTCAGACTGTCTTCGGGCTGCATGCTAAACCCTGCCAAGATACAGATGAGCATTTCAGAACAACTAGTCTTTCATGGGGATCTAAGCCTCTAAACCCTAAACCCTAAACCGTGCAAAACAACATGTCAACAAGCAGAAAGGGCTCCAAAAGCTCAAACCGGTCAACATCTTTCTAGAACAAACTCGGGTGCAACTCCACAAACTGCTTCTGCAGAACAGTCCGCTCCTCTGATACCCTAGCATAGCTATATCAGGAAAAAAAGGATAGTGTTCCTCGTTGCTGGGTTCAGTGTATCGCTGAAACCGAAACCATCCTTTCCTAAATCCCCAACCCTAACAAAGCCCTCAACCCTGAAACCCTAAACCCTAAAACCTGTAAACCCTTAAAGCCCTGGCCCATGGCTAGGCCACAAACTTCTAAACCCGAGAAACCCAACCCCCAAACACACGACATTACCATACTTGTTGTTACTGCTGTTGCTCTTATTGACTATGCTTACTAATTGTGTTTTTGCTACTGGTATGGATATCAAAATGCTAATTTCCACATGCGCTATTGCTATTATATCTTGCTACTAATATAATGCCTACTTATTAAGTACATTAAGTATTTAACTATGACAACAATCAATATATATATATATATAGCGATTGATATATGACATTCAATATTGGATATGAGTATTATCTCTTTCTGTTCTTCTTAGAGGCCGAGTACCTTAGCCCAAAAAAGGTTAACCTTTTGAGCTATAATAGGTTTATATTAAGCCCCAAAAGGTTAAGGGTTACCTACTCAGCCCCTAACTCTATGTTGCGATTTATATGATATTCATTAACCCCAAACCCTAAATCCTAAACCGTTTAGATATGACTCTTCTCTCTTGCTTCTTAACCCGGCATCTCTTCGAGGCCCCGGGCTAGGGAGCCCAGGCCCTGCGATAAGGGCCGCTCCAGAAGATCCTGGGTAGCGGTCTAATATAGGGGCCTTAATAATTAGAATAGGTTTTGGGGGCATTATTTAGGCCCCTACATTAAGTTGTTTAAGCCTTGGGATTGCGATAAGGCTTTGGGTTTAGGGCTTAGGGATTAGGGCTTGGGGCTTCGGGTTTAGGGCTTAGGGTTTAGGGCTTCGGGTGACTATGAGTATAAGGTGAAGGTTTGTATTTTTTTAAGTGGAATGGCCCCCTTTCTCCTGCAGCGAAGGTAAAGGTTTAGGGTTTAGGGGTAGTGTAAGGACAAGGTCAAGAGTTTAGGGTTCAGGGTGTAGGGTTATAGGATAAGGTTTAGGGTTTTGGATTTGGGGTTCAGGATTATTGTACGGAGAAGGTCAAAGGTGTCATGATGATAATTTAAGTTTGGGGTCGTTTCAGGGAGTTGTAACTGAATGTTCTTGTGCAAACGCTAAACCCTGATGCCTATAAGCCCTTCACCCTAAAGGGTTCTTCTTAGGCAGTTCTTCTTTGCAAGCGCATCTCGTTCAATTCGATATCCCATGCTACACCCGCACTCAATCTCTCCAGTTGGTGCTCCCCCTCTGCGTCTTCCACGGACTACGGCTTACCTGAACCCGACAAGGGCTACCTGTGTAGGGTTCCTCATTTATGACGCCCTTCCATGACCCCATGAAATGGAAGGTCATTAGGTTAAGGTAGGCTTTAGAGTGTGATGGTGATTGAATCATCTTGTACGTGATGTGTGGTGTGTGTGTGCGCGTGCGTGCGCACTTTTCTGCAGTGTTCATTATAGCCGCAAGACCTCACCGAACATCTGAGCCTAAAAACCTCTTGATGATGGGAGCCGTTTAACTGAAACACATGTCCACAAACTCGATTCCGTTTGTGTATCCCAAGTATCCATCAATCAGGACTCCGAGTCCTTGATGAGGGCTCTCGGGCCTTTAAGGGGGGTTTAGGGTTTAGGGTACAGCATGGCGTTCCTGGTACTGGCCACCCCTGCATAAAGCCTAATCCCACAACCTGCGACCCGGTGCTTTAGGGTCCTGCAGAGCCAGTTTGCTTCTACTATTCATACTACCTAGACCCTCCATCTACCCTCTAACAACCCTTACCCTTGATTTGGGACCATATACCCCTATTTGAGGGTACGTGGAGGGTCCTGGTATTGTTGTTCTTATTTTGTCAGACCCTACACCCCAGGCCCCAAAGCCCAAGTCGACTTACATTAAGCCCCTACCCACAGGCTCCTAAGTAGTTCCTTTTTATGGTTCATATTCAGAATCCTATAAGGTAGTCCGAAAAAGGAACTACTAAGGAGCCTATGGGTATTGCAAATCCCCAAGCTTCTCAAATCCCATGCCCCGAGCTCCAGGCAAAGAAGCCTACGCCAAGGCCCAAGCCCCTAGTCCCGAGCGGAGGTGACGGTAAGCCTGCGAACGGTTCCGGGTTTGGGTTTAGGGTTTAAGGTTTAGGGGAGGAGCAGGTTATTACATCCGCTACCATTGGCACACCATGAGAGACATAAGAAGCAGGGTTACTACCAGGGACCCTAGAAGGGAACGACAAGGGCTACTATGAGGCCGAAAGCTTTGAGAGCTTTGGGATTGGGGGTGAAAGGATTCGTGTCAAGGGAAACCCAATCCTAACCTTGAGCAACCCATGTTCTTCAACTTTCCCCTAAACCGCCCTAAACCCTAACCCCTAAACCTCCTTGATAAGGTCTATCTTGGCATGTGACGGGCCGGTTGCTGATGCATGGAGTCTCCAGGCCCTGCAACCCTATCCCCCAAAAAGGCTAAATCTAGCTTTGAAGCAGATTCCGCTAAGAGCTGAGTCATCCGAGCCAGCCTTCAGGGTTTAAGGCAACCTCCATGATATACGTAGGACCACCCGTGTTTTGTAAAGGCCTTGTGGCGAGTTAGGATCCCGCATGCTCCCTGAAAAAGGCAAGGGGCTTATTCATCAAGGGTCTACATTAAACTCTGACTCTAAACCCAGAACCCTGCACTCTGATAGATCTTGTATAAGCACAGACTTGGGCTGCGAAGCGCTGCAGGGCCCCAAACCCAATTTAAGCCCTGCGCGTGCCTGCACCGGATTCCCGAAGAGATCGCAGGACCCCAGCAGAACGGGGCTATTCAGCCTCAAGCAACCAAGCTTTTTGGGGCTTTAGTTGTTTAGGGTCGGGTTTTGCGAGGCATTACGAACACATGTAAAAGGATGTCATAAGTGTTTTAGATGCTGTGCACAAAGGGTTCATATGGGATTTGATAATTAATTGCAATCAGGAGAACCATGGGTATCGGTTCCTCACTTCCCCTTCACCAAAGTGCCTTTCAAGCTACATTGAGCTGTAGAGGAACCTTTATGATGGTTCAGTCAGCGGAAATCTCCTTCCAACTACACTTGATAGATACTTTTTTCTAGAGGCAGAGTAATGTATTTGTTTGGAGATAGCAACATCTTTGTAATGGTATCAAACATGTCAACTCAAGGAAAATGACTTGTTCCAAACTCCCACCTCCACAGCGTACCTTTCTGCTAAATAAATTTGGACCAATACTTGCTCATATATATATATATATGTCTCTATATATATATATACACAGCATCAACACCTATGTACTTGTAAACCTAGCTGAACTGTCGAACAAGTTCGCTGCTAGACAAACACCAGGCGTCCAAAAGCTGGTGGATCCTCCGCGCCCGAACTTCTGAGACCCTAAAGTCTTCAAGAGACCCTAGGGCTTGGGGGTTAGGGGCTTAAGGGGCTTAGGGTGTAGGGGTTTAGGGGCTTAGCGCTTGGGGTTTAGGGCTTAGGGCTTGGGGTTTGGGGCTTAGGGGCTTAGGGGCTTAGGGGGCTTAGGGCTTAGGGGTTTAGGGGTTTAGGGCTTAGGGTTTAGGGTTTAGGGGCTTAAGGGGCTTAGGGCTTAGGGGCTTAGGGGTTTAGGGGCTTAGGGTTTAGGGGTTTAGGGCTTAGGGGGTTTAAGGGGTTTAGGGGCTAAGGGTTTAGGGCTTTGGGCGCATAGGGCTTAGGGCTTAGGGTTCTCTCTTCTCTGTCTGTAGTAGTACTCAGGACCCTCGGGTGCCACCCTGAAATGAACTCGTCTCCAAACATGTCCCAAGGCAGCGGCAGAAGGAACGCGATGCAGTGCGCGATTAACTCCTCGTGCAAGGAGGCACAACATGCAGCCCCCCCCAAAACCTTGAAGAGCAAAAGCTCTGACCCTTTGACAGGCATTTGCACATTTTGGGAGCAGTTTCGCTCTCCATGCACACTTCAAGCGGAAGGGCCCCGATCCGGGCCTCCTGCAACTTTTGGCAGGAAGTGATGTCGATTAGGTCTCTTCTGCTTTCATGCCATCAGTCTTTACTTTCACCTCCCCCTCCGGGCCTCCCTCCTCTCCCTCTGATGCGCCAGCCGCTACCAGCTTCGGCGCGTTGTAGTCCGCCCAGACCTTGGAAAGAGCTCCCAAGACCAAGCCCAGGACAAAGATGGGAAGGAGGATGCTGAACAAGGAAACGACGACGGTGTTGTCGGAAGTCGCCCCGGAAAAGGGGCTCAGGGCCATGAGCTGGCGGCCATGGGTCACGAAGAAAAGGATCAGGCCCACCAATAGGAAGATGTAGTTCATGATCATCATGGGCCCTCCGATCATCAGCCATGCCACCAGCGCCCTCCCAGTAGAGTCCTTGCAGGAGTACAGTGCAGTGCTAAACCCTAAACCCTAAACCCAAAACCCAAGACCCAAAACCCCAAACCCTAAACCCTAAACCCCAAACCCTAAACCCCAAAGCCTGCACCCCAATCCGGCTGGAGGCCTACGAGACCGCAGATTCCAGCACTGCAGACCCCTGAGCCCGGCCTTTAAAGATCATTATGGCCATGATCTTGATCTTGCCGATAATGGTTTCAAGTACCCGCGTCATAGCTATATAGATATCTGAAGCCTCTAACCCCAAAGGCCTCAAGCAACCATACACGAATCGGTATTGGGCTCTCTGGCGGGTCAAGCGTTCAATCCGGGATCTGAAAAATAGAACCTCTCAGCAAAACCTATCTATCTTGGCCCATACAGTGGTACAATGATCGGCTCTTTCTCTTTCCCTATGCTGCCAAGGACCTCATAGTTAGGGCCCTATTAAGGGCCCAATAATAAGGTCCCTGGAAGCATAGGGACTATTATCTCTTTCTGTTCTTCTTAACCCTAAACCCTAAACCCTAGGATCGGCTCTTTCTCTGTAGATCATGTATAACGGTCCGGGAACTCGAGTCCTCGCGCACCGGTGCCAAGGCCAGACTTATGTTCAGGACGATGCCTGAGTTGCCGGGTTCGGGGGTTTGTGTCAGGGATTTTTGGGGCGTTCAGGGCTAAGGTTCCTTTAGGGGTTTAGGGTTTAGGTTTTATAGTGATTTGAATTTTGAATTAGTGGCAAATATTTTTTTACGACGGTTGCGGGTGTGCTAGGAACTGTTGCGGTAAAGAGCATTGGCTCCAATCTTGTAGGGTACAAACACCCAATCAAACTGAGGGCTACATGCTCAGCTACTGAGAAGTGCTACGTGTGTCCTCGGACTGGTTAAGATTACTCTGGGTCCTGGCCCTAAACCCTAAACCCTTCAGTTCAAGCTTGGCCCATAGCGGGACATAGTACCAGAAAGAACATGCCCGCCTCACTATGGTAGAAGTAACACAACTTGCGTTCCTCCGCACCACATCTTCTGGAACCCCCCCCCCCAAAAAAAAAACTCCTACAAGTAAACCCCAAACCCCAAACCGGAAACCCTGTACCCTGCTAGGAGCCCTAAAGCACCCCCCCTAAAGGATCTCCTTGAAAGGAGCCCTTAAAGGAACCACCCTAAGGGTCCCCTGGGGCGCCCTGAAAGGAAGCCCGAATAAAGGATCAATTAAAGGAGCTCTGTACCCATAGGCTCCTTACTAGTTCCTTTTTGGGACTACCTTATAGGATTCTCAACATAAGCCACAAAAAGGAACTACTTAGGAGCCTATGGGTAGATCCCTTAAAGGACCCCTTAAAGGAACGCTGGGAGCGCCGGGAGGCTCCAAAGAAGAGCCGAGAAGACGAGAGCTGCAGCGATGGAGCCGATCCGCTCGTTGACCTAGGGTTTTAGGCTTTTAGGGGTTTTAGGGGTTTAGGGTTTTAGGGCTTTTAGGGCTTTAGGGCATGGAGTTTCGATTGTTTTTGTTTGCTTTGGGTGTTTGGGTTCAGCTTTTAGTGTTTTCGGTTGCGGTTTTAGCTTTGAGGCTTGGGGCTTCTACAGTTTGGGGTTTAGGGTTCCTAGGGCTTAGGGTTTTAGGTTTGGGAAGCCCTAAACCCTAAACCCTAAACCCACAAAGTGAAGAAAGCGCTCCTAAAATGGGTCCCAAAGCGACCTCCGACCAGCGGTAGAAGTCCCCCGACTGCAGGGCGAAGGCGTGAAGCCCTGGGTTTCTGGCAAAATTCTAAAGAGCAAGGGGAAAAACAACGCGGTTAGGGGTTTAGGGGCTTGGGGATTTCGGGCTTAGGGGTTTAGGGTTTAGGGCTTTGGGGGTTTAGGGTTCAAGGCTTAGGGTTAAAAAAGCTCTTGGATCCGACCCCACCCAAAAGTAGTAAAGTACTACAGAGCCCAAGGTCTCTTGGTGGGAAAGTCGTCGAAGGTCAGGGCTACTACCGTCTGCACATCCTTGTCTCCAATGCCTCGGGAAGCTGAGTTTAAACCCTCAACCCTAAACCCTAACTCCATCGGGAAGTTGAGTTTAAACCCTAAACCCTAACTCCAATGCCTCGGGAAGTTGGGTTTGCAGACTTAGGGCTATGCTTGGGTTCGAGAGTTGCGGGACGAACTTGGAGCTTACAGTACGATGACTGCAGTATATGGAATTGGATGCTCTCCTCACGACGGTTAGTTGAAAGCGATGTTGCAGTAAAATTCTCAACAAAGGCCCAGGTGCAAGCTATGTGGTCCGATCCTGAAGTTGTCTCCCCCCAGGTGGACTGCAGATCTGTCATGAGAAACTGCTCAACATCCATGTATGTCCCCGGTCTCACAAGCTGCGTGAAGTTGAAATACTCCTCGCTGTGCGTTCCGATATCCTGGGGAGCTTCAAGGGGTTTCCAGCGATTGGCGTTTAGGGTTAAAAGTTTAAGGGTTTAGGATTGAAATTCGTGGAGGTAATAGGATCTTAGGGTTGAGGGTTTAGGGTTGAGGGTTTTTTGTTTTATGCAAAGGCCTCGAATAAAATTATTATCACAGGGACCCCGACGGAGAGATCCGAAACCCTCGTCCTAAAGGACGAGGGTTTAGGGTTTAGGGCAAGAAATGCTCTGAAACCCCATCCTCCGTCTTGAAGACGTCTCGAACAAAGACGCGGAACTCCTGGCTTTTGCACAGCAAGCTCCTGACAAGTTTGGGACTTCAAAAAAGGGATCGTAGTACCTCAAAAAGGTCATAAATAAAGCCCTAAACCCGAAACCCATAAGCCCCTAAACCCCTAAACCCAGAACCCCCAAATTCCTAAAGCCCTAAACCCTAAACCCCTAAACTCCTAAAGCCCTTAAACCCCTAAACCCTGAGAGGCTCCGGTAGTCCGCGTGGTTCATCTCGTCAGTTCCGGGGGCGACCATGTATTGCAAGCCCAAGACGAAGGACAACACCAAGGCAGAGACCTGCCATTCATTTAGGGTTTAGGGTATAGGGTTAGGGTTTAGGGTTACGATAGAGTTTTATTGGGCTGAGGGCTGAATTATAGGGCTTAGGGTTCACAAAAGTTTAGGGTTTCGGGCCCCGCCCAAAACCTGCTAACGGCCCTTATATATCCCGCTTATGCCTATAGAAAACCGATCAATTTAAAAAGTCCCATAAGCCCTAGACCCTCTCTCTGTCCATACATACATACATACA